GAATATTTCTTTACGGAACTTCTTTTCTATTTTGTAAATTCCGAATATTGGCTTTAAATATGTTCATCATAGGAAACGAAAATTGACGATGATACTGATGATGTTGACATTGGGGAATAAATGCTGTACAACATATTTGAATTAATTTTCCTAACAACAAACAATATGGCTAGAAATTAAAAATAACAATAACTTTATTCAACACAACATAGATAGATAGATGTATGGATTAAATAACATTCCTTTGAGAATTTCATAGATATATCCACATCTTAGTAACACACATTATAGAAACCAAAAACCTATTAAGGTATCAATGCGATGTACATCAATCTATAAACTGACAGGTGGCAAATTATTGTTACTATTACTATTATTATTTTTGTTATGAAAACAACGAATTTCAGTCTAAGGAAAAATAAAGTTACAAGTATACAGATGAAACACTCTAACTCTTCAGTAAAGAAAAATGTGTACAGTTTTGTATCGGTTTACTGAAACCAATCAACTTAACCATCTGGAAAACAATTATCATATCATATTTCAACTTGCTGCCAACAAACATAAACAAATAAATAAACAGATTTCAAGTGGAAAATGAATGGTGATTTCAGAAATCAGGTTGACACTGTTACATGTTACTTATTGAATTAGTTTAAGTTGTTTATTGTCACATGTCACAGTAGAGTAAGTAAATAATGATTTTAGTTTTGCTAGTTTCGCCAAGCCGAATATTTGGATAAAACAACCCTAAGCCTTTAATTTTCTGCAACAGAGGCAGTTTTTTTCTAATGGCTCTGAATGAAACACAAAGTAATGCAGTAGATCTATTACACGACTATTCAAATATCAGAATGACAACGATATGGTTTAAATATACAACAATATAAAGGTTTATGAGTACGGTACCGCTTTCTCCATCAAACTGTAAAGAACTTATGTAAGAAAGATAAGAACTTGGATCTGAATACACCTATGGCTGCAAACAGTTACAAAATAATTCATCTACCTGGTTATTGTTGTTAATTTTCATGGACGTGTAATAGAAGAGATTCCTCTAAGCATAAAAAGCCAGACCAGTGTACACCAAATGTGTTATTTTTAATGCAGTTCATGTTTTGCAATAGGTAAATCGCTCTAGTGAGTTCATCTCTTCACTAGAGACCTAACTTTTTTAACCTGACGCTTTTTGGTAACCCTTTGAGTTTGGTCATCATTGTTTTCTTACAACTGGTCACAATTTGTGTAATGATGTCTAGATAATCCCCATGTTTGACGATATGCGTCTGGACATGTTATTGGGTAGTCCCAGTTGTACGATACCACTAGCTCTGCTTATGTAGATACACTTTATCCTAAAAAAACAACTACTATATCGACAATGTTCTTGACGTCGTTTTCTAGAAAGGAGAATAGTTGTATGAATTAGTATCTGTATATACGTCACAACTCGCTTTGAAGGGTCACAGATGCTAAGCACCTCAGTTGCTTTTGACGTTGATATCCTTGAATTGTTTTCCTTCTCGTTATTTTTATTATTACTATTATTCTATCAGTAGTAGTAGTAGCAGTAATGTCATACCATTTCATTTTCTTGTCTGATATCTTCTCAACACTGAAAGTCCCAGTTCGTGTAACGTATAACTCTTAGTGTCTTCATATTATTAAGATTTTGTGTTTTAAATAAAGGAAAGGTTGAGTTCTAATGCAAACAGACTACCGGCATTCGTCGCCATCAATCATAAGAATAAAACGCATGAGACAGGTAAAAGGAAAGACTCAAAAACAGCCTACAGAATATGATGAAGACAGTAATTTTTTTAACATGAGATATACACTGCACCAACAACACCAACAACAACAACAAACTCCAGTCACCATCAACGGGAGAAACTTAAAGGAAGTAACCTTCTTCACCTATCTAGGAAGCACTGTCTCAACTACAGGCGGCACAGGCACAGACGAGGATGTCAAAGTCAGAATCGGAAAAGCAAGACAGGCCTTCATTAGCCTGAAACCAGTGTGGAGATCTTCTGCACTCCACTCAACATGTGGAACAAGATGCGGATTTTCAACACCAACTTCAGTCAAGTCATTGCTTCTGTATGGTTCAGAGACTTGGCGCGTCACGAATGAGATTTCCAATAAACTACAGGCATTCATCAACAACTGCCTACGCTGGCTCGATACTGAAGATCAGATGGCCAAAATAATGAGAATAAGCAACAAGGAGCTCTGGGAACGAACCAACCAAGAACCTATCACCCAACAAATATGCAGAAGAAAGTGGAAGTGGAGATGGATTGGCCATGCACTGAGAAGGCCGACTGATAACATCACGCGTCAGGCCAGTCGCTCGAGTGGAATCCCCAGGGGAAGCGACGAGTTGGACGTCCCAGCTGAGGGTGACATGGAGGAGATCGTGTGAGGAAGAAATGAGAGGTTGTGGGCTGTCGTGAAACCAGGTTGAAAAGATTTCAGAGAACAGAGTTCACTGGAGACGTGCTACTGAAGCCCTGTGTTCCATTAGGAACCCAAGGGACTAATAATAATAAATAGAAAAATAAACTTATAAAATGACTGATATTCGGTTGATAAACTACCACAATGCTGATGAAAGTTGGGAAACGAATCTGTGCCTTGATTACATTTAAATAAATTAACCAGAATCAAGCATGATAATTTTATCATTTTCGTAGATAACCAATTTATTCCGACTTCTCGAGGTACCGCTCAGCTTTGACTAGACTAAACAGAACAAACTGAACGCTTAGTATAAGTGAATTGATGAGAGATGAATAACACAGAACTTTGTAAATCCAAGAAACGTTTAACCAATTATTTTACATAATAATGTGTGATCACATACTTTGCAAATATGATGAAGCTCATGCTTATTTATCGTCGGCGCTTGGAAGTTAGTCACCGAATAAAACCCACCAAGCAGTAACACTTCATTTGATTGCTTTACTTAGTTTGCCATTATTATCAAAGGGAAAATGTAGATGTTAGGGATTACGGGTAATATTGAGGGAGAAAAATTTATTTTTATTAATTACTGCAGTGATAATTTCTCTTTTTATCATTTTGACTATCTGAGTGAGACAGCCGTGGTTTGGCACACTAGTATTGGTTAGTCGGTGGTGATTGAAGTTGAAATGAAAATTTGAACCACGGCAAATTCGAACAAGCGGGTTTTCAGCCCGGTGCTCAACTAACTGAGCTACCAGGTCCGACTGCTGACCAGATTTTTATTTCACCTCAATTACCAACGGTTTTTACCACCTGCCATATGAAGTACTGAGTGGGAACCCAGTGTGAGTACGACCAAGCGGTAGGAGAGCGTCACAAACTCACAGAGCAGTCGGTCAAAAACCTTGGCGATTGAAGTGACATAAAAATCTGGTCGGTAGATGGGTCTCGTAGCTCAGTTGGTACAGCACCACACCAGAAACCCAGTGGTCATTGGTTTGAATCCCGCCGTGGCCCAAATTTTCATTTCACCTTCAATCATCACTCAGTGTCAATTTGTCTTTTGTCATATTGTGATTTTCTACTTCTTTCAATTCACTATATAGCACGACCTTCATTCAGTACTACGATTGAGTATTTTTTTGTTACGTCTAACTTGTTTATTATTCAACTCTACTGCCAAGTGGAAGTAGATGTTATAGGGTTCGAATCAGTAAGCTAGTTCTTGGTATTCAAGAGCGTAGAGTGATAAGACTCCTTCTAGCACCCTTATATGACTCACCAAAACTTCATCATAGATACGATTATTCTTTTTATTTGATAGTTACAGAAACGTTCAACATGTATAACGATTAAAGCGTATATATCTGATGGCAAATATTTCGAAAATTACTCATTTACAGCTTCGCTTATCACTCTGTTTTATTCCCTTTCATTAATCTTCCTGACAGTATTCATTGATAAAATCCTATCACAAGAATACAGTTCTCCCTGAGAACAAGCCAATTAATTTTTTGAGAGTTGTATACCGAAGATACTTGATCGTATGACACAGTATCTCTTCTTTTTCTCCTTCTTCTTCTTCTTCTTCTTCTTCTTCTTCTTCTTCTTCTTCTTCTTCTTCTTCTACACTTCAAATATCAATAAAGGGTGACAGGTATTTGTATCACAAACTCTGTCATACCCACTTAGATGAAGTAGCATAACCAACGGACGTATCTTCTATGAATACATTTCTTTACAGACGGAAAAAAATGACTTAATTTGTTTTCTGAATACCAATATCAATAAAACTCATATAAAATGTCTTTCTACTTTCAGTGAGTAAAATATTCAAATTTCTCAGTTTGCTAATGTTGTGAGGTTTATATTTCACAGAAAAAACAAAAATGACTTTAATATTTGTTTGAGTATCGTATCATGCAACCGACGGATGAATTTTTGATATGAGGTCAGTTGAACCAGAAGTCTGACTGGCGCATAAAATAATTTCCAAGGTGTCTAACGTGCTAGTTTCACTGAAGAAAACCACCATAGCATTATCATCCATTAGTTTTCAACATTCTTGATAGTTCAGTTCTGTTTAGGGATGGTTAGTGGAAATGAGTTTACATAAATGTGAAATGAGTAGCTAGAGAAAGTGAAGATCTTTCGATCTGTTTCTAAAATGTTGGTTATTTATAAGATTACAAATAGGCATCGATTAAAGTGTTTTGGATAAAAAAAATTTATACTTAACAGTAACATGCTTGAGTGTGCAATGTCATACAGAGAAGAATGGAATGCATTCATCAACCTGGTGCAGATTCGTGCAGTAGGCCACACCTATTGTGTTGGGGGCAACGATACTACCCGGTTGTCATAACCTCGGTAAGTGAAGTAGGGCTGAAACCCGTGACCCATTGGCTGGAAGTCGTCTCCCCCAAACCAATGAGCAGCAGCTTATAGATAAATAAAATATGATTAGTAGGACACCATAATAGTCAGAAACCAACACTAAAAATATCGATTTACGATATCGTACTCACCTTTATTAAATTCCATTTACGTTGAGGAGACAGTTTACACAGTTCGTCATAACTTTTTAGAGCGGTTTGGCGATCAGGAGCCTCTTCAGCAGAAATCAGATTGTTGACGTCCTGATAATCTCTGTCAGAAAACAAGAACGAATGAAGGTTGGATGTGGGATCATGATAAGTCAACTATATGAATGTGATTAACCCAATATAAAGGTTACATTTATGACAAATTGGAACCAGATGAATAACTAAGAAGCACTGAAATACGGAAATTTATTATACGAAATCTCTTGGTTCCCTCATGGAATAAAATTCAATATCTTTTTCGCTCTACGATTACCTTTGTTGAACCACCAGATCAAAATTTAGTGACCGATGTTCTTTCCTCTATGAACTAATGTCTACAAAGTGCAACCATTATTCATTGTTTTGATCGGTATGTAGATTCTTTTTTGATTTGATGAATCTCCAGTACGATTACTTTCATGAAATGCTTAAAGAAATCACTTCTGAAAAGAATCAGCATTAACTAAAGGATTTTTGTTAAGGCTAACATTTCCAATAAACTATTGATATGGAGAATATCTCTGTTTACAAAATAGTAAATACGATACAGTTGAGCTATATGCAGAATCGGTTAACATTGAAATTTACTAACTATTGGATTTCAAATCACAGATTAGGCAGCAATAAGTTCACTATGATGCTTATGTTTGAGGAAACAGTTATTATAATGTTCGTGAGTTTCTAACGCAATACAACGATTGACAAAACTGTCAATTTTCTTGAAATTCCATAAAAGAACATGTAGGTGCAAACTAAAAATAGATATATTCACAAGTATAGAAGATGAAATATATCGTATATTTTGATCGTAATTCACTTTTAGTAACCTATGAGAATCAGACATTTGTTTACAACACAACACTTCCATTGTATAGAAATCTCTTCCTTTTCAGTTGGCTGTGACGTATTATAGGAGTGATTAATAAAATGGATAGCCATGGTTAGCTGCAAGATAATATAAGTGTGCAGAAAATTCTATGCAACATATGTAAGACTGAGAGTTAAGTACAGTAGAATATAGTGAAAAATTCTATATCTGCAAATAAAAGCTTCATTCCGTCTGGTAAAGCAGAGACATTTCGATAAGATGACAAATTTCAAATAAGTGACAACAACTGTATTATTATACCGATATTCTTTGTTGCATTTTTTGAATAGTCGCCTCTTTTACTAGTTGACCTAATTTTCATTATCTAATATAAAATCGGTGAGCACTCAGTCCTACATTGAATTTATCAAGACTTCCTTCAATGAAGTTTACCTTACATCTTGGTATTTACTATTTTATTGACATTACTATAGGTTTGCAGTAATCACCATTAAATACAACACGTTGAAGATTGTCTTTTGATTTTCATCAGCCTTAGGTGAAGCTTTTCATGTAAAACCAGCCTAGGGAAGGACCTAATGAAAGTGAACAAGTGAATTATACAAATTAATCAGCTCAACATCAGCTTGTGATATACTGCAATACTCATCTTCAAATATGATGCATCTTACTGTCATAGTTTGATATCTAGCACTAACTCATCTTCTTTCGAGAGTCATGTGGATGATTGTACACTGTTGAGTAGTCTATCCAAAATAGCAGTCAACAGTATCCTATAACCTCTGATTTTTATAGTTTGTCCAATTTTTGATGGAATATTACATATATATATATATATATATATATATATATATATATATATATATATATATATATATATATATATATATACCGTTAACTTATTATAATAAGAGAATAATACAATTTTTTAAGAACTATCTTACTTATTGTTAGCAGATAGGTTAGGGCCTATCCTCTGGAAAGCAACATTAATCAAATCAATGGATTGGTGTGCAGGAACAAATCTAAAAAGGAACATCATCGGACAATTTTACTTAGACGAGTGATTTATAGTAGCACCATGAAAAACAATGACATTCATTAAAAAAAAGATTTCGACGGCTGGAGACCACTGTAGAAGCTAGACAAATAACACGCAGTAGCTGTTAAGAAATACAACAGAGGAAACAGTCTAATCTCATAATAAATACAAAAATGACAGCTAAGTGGCATTCTGAAGGCTAAATCGATGGAATCTATACATAACTTGCTCTGTTCAGTTCAATCAGCATTATTTTGTATAAATAATAACGTTGATTATGAGTAGACATTCTTGATTATTTGAACAAAAATCCGTTGGAATATATGTAGGTGTCAAGGAATCCTGCACATAATATAAAGCAAAGAGGTGAAAAAGAACAATAATAAAGAATTACTTATACACGAGAAGGTCTTACTACTGGTGAGTGTATTACTATTTAGAAGTACGGGACTAAGGAAAATCAATAAGATGATCACCAATGACTTTGACTTTCAACCATATCTGATAACATTTCAAAGGAATAAAGTATATAATTTCTGGAAACCTAAGCAAAGAATCGTAATAAACAGCAACCGGTTATCCTTCTTCGCCACAGAACAAAATGGAAAATTTGTTGCTGTTTATCAGAGATCAGACAGCTCGTGTCTGAAAACGAAAGGTTTAATTGTAGAATAAAGCTCTTTTATTATTACCGTTGGCTATGAATAGTAACCCAAAATGTAACAGATACAAAAGATCTATGAGATAGAACTATTTATATCGACGCATAACAGTCACGATGTTGTACGAATAAATCCAGTTTTAGATTGGATAACACTAAGCTAAAACATTTCGAACATGAAATTACAGATATACACGTTATATCATCATCATCATCATCATTATCAACATAGGACCAGGCATTACTGCGTAACGGTCCGAGTTGCCACACCTCATATCAGCACATCAAGTAAAAAGGTAGTGAGGTGAAGGATGAAGATAAGTGAATGCAGTCAAAAGAAATATAAAGTATGAGAAGAAAGGAAAGAGGAGTGACAAAATAGTGAGATTCGGTATAGCGTTGTTAAGATGAGGATAATGTGTGTATACATCTGCGCCACTGACTTCGGTTCTGAGCCATATCACCTAGGGTCTCCAACCACTGGTTCCTCTTGTCCCGTGGACCCCAACCACCTAGTCTGCATCGTCCTACATGGCTTAAACCAACAGTCAGAGACTTCATACATTGGTGCCATGTTTTAGTCTGGCCACCTCGGGCCTTTTTCCAGCCTGAACCCACCTCAGCCAACATTGTGTGACGAGGCAATCGGTGACTAGGCATACGTAGTACGTGTCCCAACCATCTCAGTCGATGAAGGTTCACAACCTCGTCGACTGACTTACCTCTTCTCCCTAAAACTCTACACCTAACTTCTGCATTACTCACATGGTGACACCACGGAATACGTCCTATACTACGAAGGCAACGGTGGTCAAATACCTGTAACCTTCTCATGTCTTCCACTTTCAATGGCCATGTTTCACAGCCATACAGTAGAACAGAGCGGACTGCTGTGCAGTACACGCGACCCTTAATAGACAAACGAATATCACGGCGGCGCCATAGGTGGCGCAAATTGGCAAAAGCCAATCGAGCCTTTTGTATCCGTGCAGAAATCTCATCGGCAACTAACCCACCGGGTTGATCCTACTTCCCAGGTAAGTGAAGTGGTCAACACACTCAACCACTTCACTCTCTATTGTTAACCGCGGTACCGCTGAAGACCAGTCCTGGAGCAAAAATTTGCATTTGGGTGGTGAAAATCGCATCCCAAACATTCTCAAATTCCCACTCAAAGTGTTCAGAAGACTCTGCATCTTGTCAGCGTCTTCACCTAACAGGACTATGTCATCTGCATATTCTAGATCTAAGGAAAATTCACCTGTGGTCCGGTCAACGTCTTTGTAATTAGGTGACGAGAGGGAAACCTCCATAAGAATATCTATGATAAAATTAAATAAGAATGGGGATAGTGGGCATCCTTGACGGACACCACTTGATGAGTATAGCTCCCTGGACAACTCACCATAGGCTCTAACATGCCCACAAGTGTTCGAGTAGAGAGCTTTCAATAAGGTGATGTACTTACTAGGCACGCCTTTCAGTGACAGACACTGCCATAAGACTTCTCGATCAACGGAGTCAAATGCCGCCTTCAGGTCGAGAAATACAGCTATTGTCGGGCGTCTGTAAGCATGCCTATGTTCCAGGACCTGGCGCAGTGTGAATATTTGGTCGATACATCCACGGCCAGGTCTAAAGCCTGCCTGGTTTTCTCGGGCTTGCTGTTCCCGAGCTCCACTCAGGCGTCGGAGAATTATAGAACTTAGGATCTTAGACACTATGTTTGTCAGGCTGATTCCTCTGTGGTTATCACAAGAGGACTTCTCGCCTTTCTTGAAGACTGGGATGATCAGTGACTTAGACCAGTCGGAGGGGATCGTATTTGATTCCCATATACTGGCTAACACTTCCGTTAGCCTGACTAAGAGAACTCTACCACCATTCTTGTATACCTCAGCAGGTAGTCCGTCTGGTCCTGCTGCCCTTCCCCGTTTCAGGCTACCTACCGCTTTCTCAACTTCTTCTAGTGTTGGGGGACCTGTCTCTATGTCCCATTCAGGGTCCGACTGGATAGCGGGCAGCGCAATGGTGGCTGGAGGCCAGTTAAACTGTTCCTCAAAGTGTTCTGCCCATCGTCCCAGTCGCCTTCCCTGCGAGTGAATCGCCGATCCGTCCTTCTCCGCTATAACCTCACTAACTGTTGTTGACCATTTCCCCCCAGTCTCCTTAATAAGTCTAAATAACTGTCTACTGTTACCGATCGCCGCTGCCTTTTCCATCTCTTTAGCCTTTGCTGCCCACCACTGTTCACGATCGTTGCGCAGACTTTTCGTCAGTTTATTTTTAAGTTGCGCTCGCTCTTCATTGTACTCAGAGCCTGCAGGGATGCATTCACGTGCATCCATTAGTTTGGAAGAAGCTGCTGATATCCACTGGCTCTTTTTAGCCATTATCTTGGAGTCGGCTACAGTCTCCAGTGCTGCTTTTACAGTAGACTGAAGATGGCACCAAGCTTCTTCTGGATGAGTGACAGTCTTTTGTTCCGATAACTGCCTAGCCAACTTCTCACTGAACACGGCTTTGGTGTTTTCGTTGTCCAGCAGAACTCGTAGTGGTTTTGTTGCCAAATTTTTTCTACGTCCATTGAGACGCAGGCATATACGTGCTCGGACCAACGCATGATCGCTGTCCAAACACGTACTCCAGAAGGAGCGGCAGTCTTCCACCGATCCTCTCCAGCGATGACTAATAGCAATGTGGTCTATCTGTGTCCATCGCTGAGTCGAGCTCGGTGGACGCCAGGTCAGACAGTGCCTTTCTTTATGTCTGAAATTTGTGCTGGCTAAAAATAGGCGGTTATCTGAGCATAGTTGTAATAGGCGATCACCGTTATCTGTACGTTCAGCTGGGATTCCGAAAGTGCCACCTAAGTGCCTTTCTGCCTCACTCAGTCTACCCACCTGTGCGTTGAGGTCACCTGCAACAACCACTACGTCCGAACGTTTGGCTTTCGAGAGGAGGTTAGACAGTTTATGGTAGAACTCGTCCTTCACTTCATCCGAACTACAGTCAGTGGGTGCGTAAGCAGAGATTACAAAGAGACAACGGCGAGTCTCACTATTCCTTTTAGTTCTCACTGTGCCGTTCAGCCTCATAGCGCAGAGGCGACTATCAACTGGGATCCAGTCTAGTAGTGAGTTTTCTGCCCTGGTGCTTAATGCTATACCTACACCTGCAAGACCACGAGAGCTAGCTATCGAATCTCCAGAAACTCGAAGGGTGAATTTTGCAGATTCACCAGATTGGTCAGGAGAGGTCAGGTGAATAACCACACTTGGGTCCTGTATGCGTGTCTCACAAACACAGCACACATCCATGCCCGAGTTGCTAGAGTCTTTGCCAACGAAGCCTGTTGGCCAATTTGACGGAGGGTGCGGACATTGAAGGCTCCAATATGTAATTTGGAGCGTGGTTTAAGGAGACCAGGGAACTGTTCTGTGGACTCAGATCGTTGTCGAAGGCTGCAGAGGTAGGAGAAATTGAAGATGATGCAGCATCATTAATTAAGAGACGTGAAGGAAGATTAGAAGGTAATGATGGAGGAGGAGGATAGCAGTCAGAAGAAACTTGGGTGCTGACAGAGTTGTGAGGGCGGTTGACACTTCCCGGCTGCCCACACCGTGGAAGGCTATTTCTTCTTAAGGTACCTGAAAGAGATTTGTGTGACCGCAGAGCCCATCGGACATCTGCTTGAGGCCTGTCACACCCAGCCTTTTGAGTATGATTATTTTGAATTTTTGTATTTTTGGGGCCGGATGAGCGAAAGGAAACGACAAGTGAACCAACACCGCCGGCCCGGCAGACCGTGGGGCGTGGTGGAGTGTGTTATTTTTGGGGCCGACCTTTTCTAACCCCCCCTTCCACTGAGAAGGCAGCATCAGCTTGGCACTGCTGGTCATCCAAGGGAAACACCTTACTGCTGTCACACCCCATCCAGCTAGCAGCAGTACGACTTCGCCCTCAGACCCCCATCATAGTATAGCAATTTACACTATGACGGTAACTGCTTTTCGTCTAACCACTACCCAACAGACCTTTCTGGTATGGTAGGACCTCGAGGGAACAAGCGTTCCACCAGCATAGCTCGTTGGGTCATTGTGATATGCAAGCCCGACCACCACGTCAAGGTAGCAGCTATCGGTCGGGTACACGTTATATACTATTTTATCGTCTAGTTTTTGGTGCAACTACAAACTAACTGGCAAAATTTGAATCACTTTGTTGATCTACTATAAACACTGAGCGAGATGTTTTGGCAATCCTGATGATACTTCAAGATGGTTGCAATCCAAATAGCCCTTTAAACTAGTTTTACCAGCAATGTTCAAAATTTGAAAAGGCATTGATATAACCTACTTATATTTTTATAAGTAGGTTAATGCTTCCGACAACATTTTGAAGTCGTAAATTGTAACTTTCCACATACGTCGATGAATGTGAATTTATCAAAGCCTCAACAAGTCAGAACGTAAGAAGATTAAAAGTGGTACTCTTAACAAATTTACTCATAAAATAGCTGAAGGCTTTTCACAGTCATAAATGGTTATTTCAAGGAATATTACATAAATTAACAGGAAGGTAAAAATATTTCAGGAATACGTAGAATACCATTTATCCAAATGTGCCTTAGACCTTTTTCTATAAAACAGCTAGACATAGCTTTGTACTTCCATAAAGTGTGTGAGAAAACCAAAAATTAAGTGGTAGGAATGGAAGTTTAGTGGCTAAACACAAATGTCTGCTCACTTAAACATCAGTGTAGAAGTAGCTCTGAAACTCATAAAAGGAATGGACGGGAATCATGCTTCAAGTAAAACACACCGCCTTTTCACTCAACTGTTGGAACACAAGTCACTTATCTCCACTTGCAGACTGATGGAAAATAAAGATGTAAAAATGTGCACAACATAGTAAATTTAAACTGTGTTGTTGCTGCTTACATAACCATATAGAAACCAAAATGAATTCCCTAAGAATAAGCCAGTATCGACTTCGAGAAAAGAAAAAGTCTTTAAAAAATACGGAGACGATAAATCTATATATTTGATTCGGCAGAGAAATGACTAACCTGTCAATAAGTGCCGCAATAACAGAAGAGTCCAAACCACCACTAAACAGCAAACCAAATAAAGCACCTGACCGATTTCCATCAGATGGACCAAAATCAGTAGATTCCTCACAAAAGAGCAAATCACGTGTAACTGAATCGTGCACAACAGTTAGTAATAGATGCAAAAGTTTCTCCTGAGTTTCCTTCAAAGTTGTAGGTTTATAAACTGGTAAAAATATACTATTGTAATCCTCATTTCTATGCAGAACTCGGTTAACGGAAACTGGAAAATCAGACGGGCACAAAATTAAATGCTCATCCGACCACGGATATAGACTAATATTTGACAGAAAAAGGCTTTCATTATCACAGATAACTTTCGATACAAATATACCGCAAGCTGGAATCTCGAACCAATCTTGTGCATTCTTTTCCTGAAAAGAAAATTTAACTACCGAGGTAAACTTACCAACCATTTTGAAATAAAAATGACTACAGTACCTAGAGATATAAGTAACCGAACCCATTAGATAAGCACCTAGTTATGTACTGAACAGTGAACTACACTGATCATGTGCAGATGAAATATACTACTTAGTTACTGAAATCGAAGATGAAGCGGTATAAATCGAAATATTAACCATAAAGTCACAATCCCTAAGCAACTGTTCACGTAAATATTGAATTCATTAGCGGCTTGACACCTATACACTTCACTTTCTTGCGTTGTTAATGGTTCCTATAAAAATGTGAGAAAGGACCAGTAGATCTCAGCAGCTTAATCCGAACTAATGAATTCACATGAACGTATTCTTTCAGGGTGCCTGCCCAATGAGTGGGAGCAGCTCAAGTGCAAACTGACAACGAATACACCCAATAACTGTGAGCAAAGAAGGCCAAAGAGAAAGTAGACAGTTAATTAGACCTATCAATGAAACTGTGGTAAGTCAATGGTTATTGAAATAAAGTTGGGTCTGTAATCCACCCCGTCGGAGAGACAACTGAAACTATGGATGGAATATTCCGAAATGCAGTTCAAAGAACCTTTAGAAGTTATCCAGTCATATCCAGAACAGAACATTGAAAAAGGGCCTCAAACTATTGCATAAGTTTGGAAAAATGTAAGAAATAAGAATCAAAGAAATGCTGCAAACACTGGGGAGCATCAGAGGTAATTGACGACAGCGGTCGAGGATTATTGCTTAGACTGGCCAAAACATTAGCTGCAGCACGAAAATCAAATATGATACCCTAACTGGTTTTAATCGCTGGTTTTCCAAGTCCTTAAAAAGGGTGGGAATCCTCTTATGATAACAACAGACGAATCTGTTTGATGAACAGTGTTACGGATGCCGATATCCTTTATATTCCACACTTACAGCTATGTATATATTTGAAATGTTTATTCACGCTCTTTTCCCGCGAATGGGTCATATTTCGTGTGAACTGCTATTGTTCTGATTGGCTCCTGCCTCTTTAAATGTACTAATGATTTCTTGACCTTTAAGGTTATCGCAAACTCTATAAATAGGTTCAGTTTTTAATCATAAACGGTTCAGTCCGAGATACTTTAAACTCATCTGGTTTCCAGTTTTTTGATTTCACTTTGCGAATCACTTGGGTTGCATCATCTCAACCCTCGACCACCAATCGTTAAGTATTTCCATTCGTTCTCACAACTCCGCATCATAATACACAATACCTAAGACTCTGAATACTATAACCATCAAAAGCCTGAGGTTAGGGGACAGCGAACCCAAAAATATTAGGCGGGCTCTATACGTCAACACAGGTGAAAGGACAAGATGTTCACCCGATTTTGGAATACAAACACACTTACCGATGCCCGACACCAGACATATTTTTTGATCCAAAATTCGCATTCAACTCTATAGATCGAGAAACCTTATGACAGTCTCTGAGGGAAACGTTTGCGCAGTAATTAATGACAGCTTATTACTCAAACACCTGTGGTCTTATTGAAGCCTACAGAAAAGTATCAGATAACTTGTCTACATCGAGTGATTTTCACTCTCCATTCTTATTAAGTTTTGTTATCGACGTACCTATGAAGGTCTTCCATGCATCATTCGAAGTTACTCTGATTGATTTAATCAAAGGAGGCTTTCTTAGCAGATTTAGAGCATGCAAAATTATAAAGCCCTTTTAGGTGAAGGTGCTGACAAGATACAGTCTTTTAAACAATCTGAGAACACCTGAAATACGATTTTCGCCTCCGAAATTCAAATCGCTGCTTCAGGACTGATTTTCATTAATAACTCATATGAAGTGGTTGGGTGAGTTGACCATTTCATTTACCTGAGAAGTAGGACCAGTCCCCACAGGTCAGTGCCCGACAAAATATTGACAAGGATACCAAACGTCCCATTATTTTTCGCCGACCTACGGTGCCCGCAGGATATCCGACTACCTAGAAAGGGTTGAGTGCATTGAGCAACAGTTTGGTCTGTCCGGCTGTAAACCCGTGAAACATGGCCATTAAAGGGGTTGTGAACCTTCATCAACTCGGACGCCAGGATATCTGGTATGCATTCCTAGTAACCATCTTCCCAGCCATGCAATGTTACCTGGAGTGTGTTTAGGCCAGAAAAGGTTAGCGGTGACTAAATTAAAGAATGGCATTAGTCTGCGGCGTGAAAGGAAGAGTAGGCCTTTCGTTTGGGTTCTGTGCGACAACCGAAATCGATAGTTGAACAATAAGTGAGATGGCTCAGAATTCATCACAGTGGTACGCATGTATTTCTACCTTATCTACCATCGTAACCACCATATCACATTTCGCTATTTGTGTTTAATCCTATTTCCCACAAATTTTGATATCATTCCCATTTTCCTCTGATCGCGTTGTATTTTGATGAGCTTATGTAAGGTGTAGCAACCTGAGTCCACTTTTGATATTGGATGACTAATCTACTAGCCTTTATCATACCATATCAATCGATACTAAGGCCCTGTTCGGAGACTAGACGCAAAAAGCAGACATACAGGTTCATAAGAGTCCACTAGACAATTAATAGGAAATTTCTAATAACAGGGTGGATAGTAGAAATTACCTGTTACAGCTCTGCTCACACTAACATCCATCTCTGTCAGGAATTGAATTCCAACAGTCACCTCAGGTGTCCTATATGGTGTCACTTTCCCTCATTTACTTTACTAACTTTCTAAGCAACCAAGCAGGTGTAAAGGCACTACGCACAAGCCACACCCATTAAGGAGCATTAGTGTTACTAACTAGCTTCCCAAACCTCGGTATTTAGAATGGGATTGAAACCCATGGCTAACTGATTGAAAATAGGCTGCTTAGACTTATGAACAAAAGCTACTATTAACTATTATCACCTGATAGAGTTATTCAAATTTGAGTGGGCAGGTTACGTCATATTGCTGAAGGATGGTGCACGGACTACAGCTTATAAACTAGGGGAGATTAAACACATTTGGGTAACTTATCCAAACTTTTGTCAGACATTTCATCCGGGAAAATGTTTGAAAGAACATACTAAGCAGAATATATATTGTAACTGAACAGACTAACTATTACTCAATCACTGGCACTGTAACTAGTGCAGTGATTATACTCTCAGTCATTAAAAATGAAACTGCAACATGAGCTACTAGTGTGGATTTCTTAATTAGCCGATGTTTAACCAGACTTACTACAATACGGAATGTGAAATTTAAGTACACGACAATTGACCTGGTCCCAAAAGAAGTTAGATTTAAGTCACACAGTATAATGCTCCCATCTAGTGGATTAAATAAACTCATAAAGACCTTGAGTTAGATCATGGTAAATGTTGGTGAGCCCTTGAATACATTCAGTAGGATAAATCAAACTAAGTAATAAATAGATCGTGACGACAAAATATCAGCAACAACTAAGCAGAACGAAAAGCTTCAAAATTAAACCAATTTGGTTGATGAAAATACTGAATAATTACAGGGATAAATTCACTTACAATTGACTCCAAACTAGACTCTGGAGAAAAGGGTGTATCTTGAACAACCAAACTAGAAATCAAGTCAATGCAAAGTCGATCCGCCTGAGATGCCGGAAATCTTCTAGCAACCATAGAGTGACGTCCGAATCGATCCCGTGTGAAATAGACCACATCAGAATCAACCTAAGCAATTTTAACACGATTATTGAATTCAATAAACTTACATCTACAAATATTAGTATAAAAGAACCAATTAAAGAACTGATCAAATCTGCGATGCTATCTACATTTTTGTTTTCCGAAAGTGCATTCATTAATACAAGGCCAGTATCGACTGTCTGAGACTCAAATTGTTTTGCAAGAATTGGATCAGTTGACGTCAACACTTGACCATACCAAAACAGAATGTCACACGAGGAACTAGATTGAATTAGAAGACGCTGGAAATCTTCCGACGGTAGACTAGCAGCTGTAGATAATAAACTGAGCACCAGAACACATCCATTAGAAAACTTCGCACATTTCCGACAACCTGTTCCCATGGCGCTATGGAGCGCTGGCAAAATACCAGCACTCATAACATCTTGTTGCCCAACGATATCCTGATTTTTAAACTGAATGCAGACAAAAAAAGTCCAGCGATAAATTATACTTATTTAGTTGTAAATGTCTAGTTATAAAGTAGAAAATAAACGTACTGACATCAGAAAACAATAAAGTAACCTATCGGTTAATTTGCAACCGCGAATTCACGTTCGATCATCCTCCTGAAAACAACAACTAAAACTAACACGATTTCATTTCTTCTCTACTCCACATCTTTTCCTACTGCCATCATCCACGAATGCTGTTTAAGTACTACCACATATCCACAAAGAAAGATGTGTTTGGAAGGCAACGAGATACTCAGTGGTTTTGCATCTATTGCTATTCAAAACAAATAAACAATAAGACCAACAGACCACACCAACATAGAATCCCGCACATATTGTTTTAAGTTGCCACAATTCACAGAAGCATACAAAGAAAAGTGGATGGAAAAGACTGATATCAAAGTAGACAAACCAAACGGTCGAGAGCGGGGATTTTAAGATTAAAGTTAGTCAGAACAGTCAAGCTGTAGAAGACAGCAATACATTCAGGCTATTGTGACCGACTTTCCACTATATCACCAAAAGTTTTAACAGTGATTTCTATCATCTTGAGGACAGCAGCAGGTAGTCTATATCTTCCTACACCGCTTAGACAGTCAAGTCACAGACTGACAGCAGGAACTAGTTTGACCAACCTGAAAATCGACCAAATCTAATAAAATCTCCGCTACCATAGCACGTCGACAGAGAAAACGGGTTGGGATGCACAAAAAACATCCAGCCTACACAAACTGAAAAAAGTTAACAAAGATATTCACTGATTAATTTCTTCACTCACAACCATTCAACCAACCCTAAAATAGCCTACATTGTGAATCCACAACACGCGAGCAATGCTACGAAGATACCTGTAATCAAAACTTGTGACCACCTCGCAGTCGAATAACAGGACACAACAAATCACACAGCAGTATAACTCCCCTACAATATATAGTCGAAAATCTTACCTGATACAGACAATGCAAGTTGGCAAGTACCAAAAGGAGCCTTGTTTATTCCACCTGAGATCTCGTCAGTAGCTAGCCTGTTCGCGCTGATGCAGCTTCCTAAGTAAGTGAAGAGGCCGACGCATTCCACCAGCTCAAATCTTATCCTTAAATCAGGAGTAGTCGCAGACTAGTTATGGAGCATCATCTAACATCTGAAACGAATGCAAGACATACACAGGTATCTGCGTTCAGAAGATCCTGCATTTTGTCAGCTTCTGTGCACTCCAAGTCAACCAAATGCGGACTAGGTAGCAACCCACAGTTATGTCCATTAGTATATTTATAACGGAACCAAACAGGAACGCGGACACCAAGCCTCGATGGCAGACAAGACTAGCTGTCAACAACTCCGGTGCAAAACCTCCACTGGATTGTAGAAGGATTAACGCGTGCAAACCCTAATATGACTAGGTTTCTCATATATACACAGAGGCTTTAAATATTTGTAAGTGGTTAGTTACCAGTTTGTTTTTATGAGTAAACTTATAGGTAAACAACAAACCAGTAAATTAACGAGTCATTAAAAGTAATGAATCTACAACGAAAATAGTTACTTTCTTGCTGATACGTATCCTTGATATAAGGCATTCATAACTGCCATTTGGTGATATAGTTTACTGCTGTAAGTTATGCGAGTTAGTTGAAGCAATATTCAGTAGAAATGAAACATGAAAGTTGGGAGATAATTTTAAACTGAAGACAGTTGTCTCTAGTTTAAAATACATGCCTGTAAAGAATCCTAAGTCTTTAATAAAAATAGTGAGAACTTTAAGAGTAATACTGGAGTGTGTATGTATTTAAAAAGCTTTAATTTAGTTGGATAGTAGCAGAAGTACTACGATTGGGAAACGTTTTATAAAAGCTAAATGCTCACAACACTCTTCACCTCTTTTAACCCCTGAACTATACACAAACCATTACGACAAATGCATGTATACAATGTCTACGTTACCTCAAGGGAGTCACTTTCATTGTAAAGTAATAAGGAAAAACTCATGTGCAGAGCTTCAGACTTTCGCTTTAGAGTGACCTTAGGATAAGAGCATTTCTGGTATAGACAAACACAATTCTCCTTCTACAAACTTGTTGTGGAAGAAGAGGTGAAGTGTGATTCCTCCGTCTTCCAACTTTGATAATTAACACATCTGACCGATCCCATCTGTGTCCCTGTCTACAGTATGCACCTGTATTGTTACACAACATTCAACATCAAATCGAGAGTAGGAAACGAATATTTCTGGGTTTCTGTCTTAGGACTTCTTCCCTGCTATTCATTCCCTATTTCTTAATCAAGGGGGAAATCGCTTCCTCCCTTCCGCTGTTAGTTCTTGTGAGATAGTGTTTTCCGTTGGTTTCTGTTCGCCGTCTGCGTACTCAGTTTGTTAGGAAGCTACTCACTCCCGTCCGAAAGTTTGGCTGAAGAGGAACAATGGATTAGAGTACATAAAGGTATACAGAATGCCCTCGAGGAGTATAAAGGCAGTCGTCGATGATAATATATATCTCATACAGTATGAGCTACATGAGAACAAACTAGCTTACAGGTATGATCACTTTGGTAATATGAACTCATTGTTACGTGCAATAACGAGCACTCCTTAGAAATAGGTACATTAGAGATGAGTTTGAAGAAAGGACGTTGGCGTTTCGCAAACAACAAAAAATAAAATAGGTAAATACAGACATAATTGTTCTTCAGATTAAAGCATGTTCAGTTCGAAATCAGGATTTATTCAAACATTGTCTGAACCACTGAATATCCTTGGAGGTAAGGCAAATGGTATGGCCATGACCCTAAATCTCTTAAATTCCTCATAAAATCTGATGATATGGTGTATGCTGACAACCACGACAACTGGGATTCCATATGAATGAAGGACCGATCAGTTAGAAATGAATATCAAAGGCGAACTGCAAGCTAAACGCAAAATGGAAGCACAAAATTACTGCATAGAAGTATATCAAACATGATATTTAAATGAGCTAACCGTACTGACTACAAGCGTTACTGGGTGAAGTATCCAAAACCAAATGTTTAGAGGTCAGCTTATGGGGAAGGAGATGAAGGCAAATACGTAAGCAGTGAAATCAGAGCTGATACCGAGGACATTGCTGTGGAATACGGAGAAGTGAGGATTTGGGACTAAGGCTAAACTATCGGAGCGTTGAGGTTGGGGTCGATAACCAGTACCAGGGATATCGTCACGACGGAAATGCATAGAATGGTGTGGAATTCAATAAAAATTACTCACCGTACGATCGGTTAGGTGTGCTTATTTGTGTGTTCTCAGCATTCCTAATTTATCTGACTCTTGTCAACTTAGCGAACTCGGTGTAGAGAATGTCGCATTTCCGTGTACGTAGAACTGCTCTGATTATATGACCAGATAATCTCAACGCTGTACATCGATATTCATCACACTGTTGAACCGTTTGAACCATTTGGGAAATTAGTTTATCATCAAGAGAAACGGTTCAAAGTTAATAAGGCTGTGCGTGAATGAAAAGCACGCCTAAAGAATAGTGGTGAACAGTGAATGGTACGCATTTATATCAAGCAGGAAAGTTGTTAAAAGGGCTGTCTCTGCGTACGTTGAGTGAAAGTGGTACTTCACAACACCTGTGTTCGTTGTAGCCAATAGTGTTGTCAGCGGATGTGATGGCCCGACCTTGATTTCATGCAATAGTTTCACTATACTTTGTATTTGTGGATACAACATGACTATCAAGGAATTGCTGGGTACCCGTGAACTTAAGGAATTCATTAAGCAGACACTAGAACTGAAATGGCGACATGCAAGTGTGAATACAAACTGCGAGCTTACTCTAAAACGTGCCTCACTGTATCATAAAGAATCGTGACCTAAGTTCAAAGTGATGTTTGTCGGTGAGTACATCACACTTACTACTGAGTAGATTGTATGAGGACGTAGAATTAAGAGCGGGAGAGCAAAAAGCACGAGTAGTGGCACGTAAAAGGTGAAAAAGTTAGTTTAGGCTGAGCTTCAGGCGTCCTAATCGAAGTGGGTTAATCTTCAGTTTCCAACACCTTCCCCAATAATCAAGTTCTTCATGACTACCCAGCACACAGCGAGTAAACTTTCTTTCAACATACTCATTGCGCGTCCTACCCGAAGCACGCACATTGCTGAAGATGACCGTGCGATATTCAAGTACCGGGCGGATCATTACCTTGAATGAAAGTGGCCTAGCCTCAATGGTGTGTACAAGTTTAGGCAAGTAGTTAACTAAACCCCTACATTTAGATTCAGGAAACCGAGCATGATCTGTTAACCTTAATTCCCTAGAATACATGGTACCCAAATTATGTACCCAGTTATATGGCTGCAAAGCAGAATCCTCATGGTGTAAACCGATGTTTGGGTAGGAATTACTAAGATACAGAATCCCGCATATGCTGGAGTTAATTGGAAGTTGTCATACCTCACCCCAAGCACAAAAATTCGTCAGGTAGTCCCGGATTTCAGTGAAACCCTCACTAAGTGGCCGGTAAAGGAAGCGATGTACAGGTCTCAAGTCACCGACAAAAAGGCAGGGATACCATATTTTTTTACACTACAGGTGTCCTTTATATGATGGAGGGAGAGTAACAGCCCCAACACACTACCTTCAACGACACCACTCAAAATAGGCTTTGGGAAGGAGTAGGTGCGCTCTAACTTGATTATTTAGGTACGGTGTCCAAGGGATGAGTTTATCCACGCTAATAGCGGGTTACTGATTTCTAGTGGTTCAAGCTTCAGGATTAACCGGTTACAAGGCACTCCATCAAGTGCTTTTTTGAGGTCGAAAAGGGAGCAGTTGCGACAGGACCTTCATCAAGTTTGCTGACGAGTCAAAGCAACCCAGTAAGCAAGCACTACATGGGCGACCTTTTAAGAAACCATGGTGCATAAGGGAAAGCAACCGGTGCGCGACCACGCAATTGGCAACTTCTTGCATGACCACCTCCATGATACGAGAGACTATGGGCGTAATATTTACGGGGCTATAGTTCTGAGTATTTGGAGTCGGACTAGATTTATACGTAGGAGGTATATAGGACAGCCTCCAGCGCTCAGGGTAACATACCTCAACAGGGGATATCGAAAATAGCTTCATAAGGATCACCGGCACCAGTCACCACCCGTCCTTGGGAGAACAGATGAAGTTCCATGGGGTCCTGCAGTGTATGAGTTAGTTAGAGAAACAACCGAACCAACTATCTTTTGCCTCTGAAGGAGATATTACTCAGTGAATATTCTAGTTGAATGAGAATTTCTATGCCCAGCATACGACCTTAATGTGTGGAACAGCTTGCTAAATGATTTCTGAACAGCTCACAGATCCTATTTAAGTCATCTTAGAGAATCTATATCGCTGGCAGAGATTTCTCCTTCAGTTGCACTGGCTGCTACTTTGTTGGTAAGCGAAACATTAGCAACCGACCTACATGCGACAATACGCTCGGTGAGCCACTGTTGATATACACTCACAATGTTGTCTAGTATGGTGTGTTGGCTCTCAGGCACCGGAGTACCTCGACTGGCCGTTTTTCCGGATGAAGCTTCCTGGGGGACTTCGTAAGATTTAGATTTACATGTATGTTTTAGGAATTGTCCTGGTGAGAACTTGATAGACTCAGAGGCCAGTCACTAATTATTCGAACTTGTTATATATCCACGAATACGAGACCTAGGAAGAACACGATAGCGTAGTAGGACGGAATAGTATATTTGGGCGGTAGTGCCAAGATACCGATGCGTTCCAGCTAACTGGCTATAGAGTCGAATACGAGCAGTGCAACGTAACACGACAGCGTGCCAAATGGCGAGGATGCTTGACCGGGTGCCTTTAGCTTAGCGAGTTTAGTCAGACTATCAAGGTCAGCATCAATGTTGAATGTCGTCGAACCACAGGCTATTGACTTTGGGGGAGTGTGTGACGCTACACATCACTCCCCCACCAGTGGGTTCGTGATGACCCTATGACGATACCAGCCAGAAGTAAAAACCCAGTGGTTTCTCCACTGGTAAAACTCTTTCGATGGGCTCACTGCGTGAAGTGGCCCCTGGTTGTATGAACTTATTCTCGGGTGTCTCGGCAAGTGAAAAATAAAGTACAATAAAGCGAACTGTACGTCGATCGCGGACCTCAGTTCCCTTCGACGTTCCGTCCAGTGCTCGTTGCACCTGGAATATACACAAAAGTCTTTACTACCACGATAACTTTTCGTAGAAACGGGAATTATGTATGCATGAATATATCAAAAATAAAGCCTACGCTTATTTTCACCATTTTCTAAAAAAGTTTCACTACATGGCAATAAAAAGTTGACATAAAAAGGCAAAATGTACGGGGATTTGCGCATTTGCCCCGAAAAAATATGTCGAACTTAAAAAAATGTGGTTGGCACACCTTATTTCTTACCAGTAACTCTCGATAAGATACTACAGACATCGCGACGTCGATGCACTTCGGTTGATTCTTGGTATTCTTAACTCTATCTTGCATAACCATGATTTGCTCTTGAAGAATGAGGAGAGTCGTGTACTAGCTACCTCATTTAGAGTATGTGCTCCCTCAGCACTCCTTGGGAAGCGATCGAATTGCACAAGACATAAAATTCCTCTTCTTATCCATGACACCAAAGCTTATAATGATCCGGTGGATATATGTGTGAAATATTCAGCAACTTATTTGCAGTCAGTTATCTGGAACCTATAAATTTTTTATGTGACACTAGTATGGTCTGCACTTTTAAAAGCCATTCTCCTCCTCGACTAACGACAATAGATACGATTGAATCCACACACTCTAATATTCAAGAAGCCATTAGGACGCTGAAACGCTCCAGCAGCGCTGGCACAAACGGAATATCACCACGTTTCTTTAAATTTGGTGGCCTTGATATTCCGTTATCATTACTTAAAATATTTTCTCTCTCTTTGGAATCTTTCACATACCCTGAGAGATGGAAAACATCATTTATCCTCCCTAGATATAAACCTGGTTCAAACTGCTAGC